TAGGGTGAGGCTTAACAGTATATATATTGTTGAAAGGATAGATATAGTCATTACCTTCATGTTCTTGCTTATGTAGAAGTGGATCTGCTGCTGCCTGTTATGGGAAGGTCTGGGAAAAAGTGCTTGACTGAAAGGGTCAGAACTGCAGTAACCATAATGAAGAATGAAAAACAGAGCAAAAACCTGAGAATAAAAAAGCCACTATCCTCATACTTTTCCGTTCAGTGTCAGTTCTAGGGGAAATGGCAAAGCAGGTCAAGCTTGTGTTCAGTGCCCCAACCCTCTGTGGCAATGACTTCTCCCCATCCTGAAAGTGTGGCTCTCCTCTCACTGAACAGGAACCTCAGGGGCATTTAGAGGAGCGGGGCTCAGAAACTTGTCAGACTCTGAAATCATATAACAGATCCTGCAGTCGTTTAACCGATATAATCATCTGTTGGATATGGAGCACACAAACAAAATTCAAGCCCTGACATAAAGAAAAAACAAAACAAAAAAACAATCCATTAGCTTTAGTTCTCATAATTTTCTAAAATGTCCTCTGGGAAGACAAAAGGCAACCCTTAAGAATGTAATTTAGTTTTAAAATTGAAATTCATTGGAGCAAACCTGGCTCATTTGGAATTTCTATTCTTTCTCAACTTTCTATTGATTTATTTTTATTAGATTTTAATTAGGGATTCCATTGTGAAATGTTTTGAACCAGAATGTAATTTAAGGAGTCAGATTTTTCTAGCAGTAAAGAGAGAACAGTGGAAGCACAGAACTGAATGAGGAAGAAAAGGAAATTATTTGGCAATTAAATGAAATGAGAGAAAAAAAGAAAAAAAGAAAGAACGTGAACAGAACAACACCTGAGGTTCAGTAAAGTCCTGGAATCCAGAGGAGGGACTGACAGCTGGCAATGCAACACAGGGGTTAGATTCATGACTGTGACTGTTTCACTGCAATCCCTGGCATGGGTTGTCAGCAGTCATAATGTACTATGATATTCCACTGACTTCTGGCTTCAAGAATCGGTTTCAGTCGATTACAAAGATATCAAGAAAACTGATTATCCCAGACTCATAGGGAATAGGTGGACAGCTCTGGAGAGGGAGTGTTGGGGGGACGAGAAGGTAGTAAAAGGATAAGCAAAAAAGAAAAAGAAAAAAGAAGTGATGGACGCGAACAACAGTATGGTGATTGTGGGAGATTGGTGGAGGGTACAGGGGAGATAAATGTGGTGGAAAATTAAATGAAGAAAATATGTTTTAAAAAAGGAAAATTGAGAGCAATTGCTTGGTATTACTAAGAAGCTCAGATAAATCATCAATCAGCATTTATGAAAACTGCATAATTATTATTTTTGGAATCAACAGAAACTACTGAATTTTAGGGCAAGCTTAATAATTTTTTAAAAGAAGAAATGTTTATTGCTAGTAATGAAAATAGTTTACAAGGTCAAGGGGAGAAAAAAAGGAGACATTTATAATATTCTTTATAATACTTTAAGCAATAAAACAATTTAAAAAAATAGTTTACAGTGTTTTAGTAGATAGAAATTCAAAGGAGCAATATTTTCTTAAAGAAGTCGAATATTTAATAATATTATGAGGCATAAGAAGTAAATTAACTTAAAAATATTTGGAGTTTTATTATTTATAAAACAGTATGTGGCTCTTATTTTAATAGAAAACATTATATGTATTTTATTTTTACTTCTTGCTATAAATTTGTTTTTCTTACTCTAAAATATAAATTCAGCAAAATAATATCAAATGTTTTTTGTCAATTTTTGTGTAAATTTCTAATAAACAATGCTTATTAGATAGAAATATAAACATTTGCATCTCTAAGTAATGTCCTACTATGTATGGTGCCATACAAATTCTAAAATATTTGGATCCTTTTATCTATCTTCCACCTACCTATAATACTCGGTGAAGTGAGTATAGAGAAAATTTAATTGGAAAAAAAAAGATAACACAAAAATGCAATTAAATAGAAAAATATAAATACTTTCTGAGAGTTTTTTAAATCACACTAAGAGAAACTAAAATAACCTCTTTCCATTAAATAGTTTATTAACATAAAATCCTTAAAGCTATCTTTAGCTGTTGTGTAATACAGTATACTTTCAATTAACTACTGATTCCTTTCAAATATTTTTACTAAAATAATGGGCAACATATACTCCTGCTTTATATTTGAGATGATTAAACTGATGGTAGAAAAAATAAACAAATATCAGGAACAAAACAGATGGAAAAATCTAACTGCACAAAAGAGGAGAAAAAGTAATATTTGAGCTAATAAATCAAAAGCTCAAAAAGGCTTAATCATAGGCAAAGGAAAACAATTATTAGCACAAAAGATTCCACTAAAAATGTGGAGACTATTTTTAATGTATTTGAATTTCTAAGTTAAAGAAATATTTCAATTTAGAAATAGAAGACTGTTTTTCTTACTTGAGATCATTTAAATAGTGATGGAAGCCAAAAAATATAAAATGTAATATGCTACCGGTTTCTAATTGAAATCTGTTAAAGCACTACTACAAAATTTTAGTAAGAGAAAAAAACAAAACTGATAAACAGGTTTCTTTTGTTTAGCTTTTAGTTTCTTGCTCCTAAAAGGAAATATATTGTTGTTCCTTTTATATTTAAAATTTTAATAGATATTAATTAAATGAGTGCCTTAGTGAATGCAATCATTCAATGAAAGATTATTTAAGCTAAACTTTCAAGTTCATGTTTTAAAGTAGAAGTCCATATCCTATATAATTAATTGATTACTTAAGTATAGTTTTCAGATTTATAATAATTTCCCCATATTTATTAATAAGGAGATCTGGAAACTATTTGTGTTACTGGAGGTATTTCTACTGGCATTCCCACCCTAGACTAGCAATATTTGTGTGTCATGTTAATTAAAATATATGCCAAATATATTTTATTTTAAGAACAGTAGTCACCTTTCTAAAATATTGTTTTTGATATCAATTTTTTAAAATCATGTTTTTACTATAATTTAAACTTTCAAACATAAATAACTTTCTTTTTCTATAGAGGTCTTTTTCTTGCTCCTCGAATACACTGTTCAGTTAGTTCATTAAAAGGAATTAAAGTATTAATGTGAGCAGCAGTGTACTTGTTTATATTTTTGATTAAGAAAGGAAAATTGGAATCTCATGAAGATAGACAATAACTCCAAACTCTTTACTTACCATATGCAACTTTACAAATAGTAGCCGAAAAATCATCTGCTTAATTACTTTTTTATACACATAAATGGGTCTGTCTTATGCTATTGATTCACATATCAAGATTCAACAACCCGTTATTTAAAATGTGTCTAAAAGATTTACATAATATCGCATAGTCACAACCCATAAAGACATTTAAGTCATGTTCAAGTAAACATTCAAATTTGCAGGAACTGTGAATATTAAATAAGTATTTAAGTAGCTTTTGTTAGCCCTAGCTGGTTTGACTCAGTTGATAGAGCTTTGGCCTGTGGACTGAAGGGTCCCGGGTTCTATTCCAGTCAAGGGCACATGCCCAGGTTGTGGGCTTGATCCCCAGTAGGGGGTGTGCAGGAGGCAGCTGATAAATAATTCTCTCTCATCATTGATGTTTCTATCTCCCTCTCCCTTTTTCTCTGAAAAAAAAAAAAAAAATATATATATATATATATATATATATATATAAATATATATATATATATATATATATATATATATGGCCTTTGTTAAAAAAAATTAAAAAAACAAGATTTCTGTTAACACAGAAAATTGTGATGGTAAAAGTTTGGAAGAAAGTTATCTATTTAGCACTTATTACTTAGAAAAGAAGTCCTTGGGGAGGTCAACCTTAAAATAAATTCAGCATAATAATATTCAGTGCAGAAATATTTATATCTATGTTTACTTATTTTTGTATTAAATAGATATTTATGTATGTATATTTGCATTAAAATTTGAATATTATTAGAAAAGTTAGTAAACATTATATCCGCTAAGCTATATGTGATAGGACAGAGTACACTACAGGCAAAAAATTACTTTCTATGAATCATCAATTAATAAATGACTTAGCAGCTGTGTTTATATGTATAAATCAAGTTTCTCATTAAAAACTGAAATGATAAATATTAAATATTTAAATATCGTGACTATTTTGAAAACTAGTATTATATTAACTAATGTAAAATACATCTGAAATTCTGAAATACAATTTATAAAACAATTAATTTTTCACTTGTTATAATTAAACATTAGAAAAAAGCCTATGGTCTCTAGTTCTTACACATGAAAGTAGTTTAATTCTCTTTGGGTAAACCACCAGCAAATATTCCATTATGCTTGAAACAACGAAAACATAAAATTAATAAGAAGGCATATCAAATGAATAAATTAAAGGTGGACTTTTAGAATGTATGTATTTATTAAGAAATATATTTTCATCTCTGAGTAAACAAGTTCATTCTTATTTGATATCTATGAAGACTTCAATGTTAATCAAAACAAAAGGAGCAAAAACTCTGGCTTAGCTATTATTTGACTCTTTAAAAACTAAAATTCACTCTAAAAATACAACAACATGCTAGACCTATACAATTTCAATCAAGTTTTCATTTTACCTAAATGTGTTGAATTTACTATTTTAATCCTAAAAATGAGTATATTAAAATGTGCATATTTAGGTAATATATGCCATATTTTGCTTGTAAATAAAATGCAAAATAAGAAAAGTTAGGAAGCAGTCATGAAGATAAGAACAAATCTAGTGACTTAATCAAGTTCTCATTTTAAGAAGATTATAGACCACTATCTATGGCCTTTCTTTCTCTCTTGTTTCTGAATAGTTGCTCTTTGTCTGGGACAAAGTTGGGATTTGCTATTTCTTTTGATACATTAATGGTCCATTCCACCATAATAAACTGCAACTCTCGTGCTAATTGGTTCATAATGATTGTTTAAGCTTTACACTTGGTAAGCATTGGAAGGCTTCACTCACCTTGTTCAAGTGGTTGGCTTTTAGTTGAAGTAGTTTTCATCTTGAGTGCCTCCCTAACAGACATGTCACAGCAGGAGCCTTTGTTAGTGTCTTGGTCACTGTCAGCCTGATCACTGTCCCCGTGCCCACTGTCTCTCAGGCTGGCTCTTTCTGGGTCCTTAAACGTGGAGCTACTGAAATACATATAAAGACAAAGAAGAGAAAGTGGTGTCTCTACGAGTTTGAGTCTGGTGTGGTTACTTGCAAAGCAATTTTGACTCGAATGCAAATGGGGAAGCTGAGAAAGTTATTTAATAGGCCTTACCTTTGAACAAACTGCTGCCTGCTGCCCATGTAATTGGGCTCTGCGGGAAAATTGTCTGTCTGTGAAAGAGAAGGAAAAAAATACGTCTAGTTGTACACTGGACAAATCCCCTGCAGAGCAACAAGATTTCCTAGTGGAAAAATGATTAATAATTCAAAAATTCCCTTAATCTTCAGATTTGTACATTTTAATTAAATTGGAAATTGCTGACATGTAATTATGTACTCAGAACAATTAAATGATTCCGGTCCACAAATTACCTGTTAAAGTAAACAATGAGCCTGTCATAACTGGCATTCTCTCTTAGCACCAGGATGGATAACACTGTGTTGTTTCATTATTTAGATATTGAGATTGAATATTTGTGGGAGGAGTAGAAAAATGACCTAATTTCTGCATAATAAAAGTGTGAATTATTTAATAATACTCATTTTTAACATAATTACATAATCTTCTGGGATTCTATGCCTTCTTTGATGTAATATCATTTTAAAGTCATCCACTCCTCAATTAAGAGATACTGATCCTTTCCTTCAAATTACCAGAGTAAAGAGGATGGGAGGAGGTAGAAGAAGGTAAAAGGGAGATAATGGTGATGAAAGGAGACTTGATGTTGGGTGTAAACATAGAATGCAGTATACAGATGATGTAGTATAGAATTGTACACCTGAAACATATAATTTTATTAACCAATGTTACCCCAAAAAATTCAGTAAAAAAATAAAATAAATAGATAAGCCGGGCCCATATAATTCATTCTCATCTACATCTCTACTTTAAAAATTGTACTCACACAAGACAATGGAAAGATGTATTATTTCCTTTTATTAAAAACAAAATAAAAGAAAAATAAGAAGTAAAATGTTACTTAAAACACTGAGAGTAAAGACAGTGAGAAACCAGGCTTGTTTTTTGTGGTTGTTTCTACTGCCTCCAAACTGACCTGGAGAGCTGCCAAGAAGAACTGAATTCTCCTTGTATCATGGAACAGAGTCTTTTGGGAGAAAGAGACTAGATCTTTCATAGATCTCCCTGTACTGTACATTCATACACGTTACTTCTTGCAGCTGACTCCAGGACAAAGGTTCTCCTGTTTTCGGCATCACTTCATATCACGTCATTAAGCAGCTATGGGTTCGTACAAGATCATCCAGCATGCGAGTATCAGTGGCACAGGAGCATGCAATTCATGAAGCAGAGGGCCCAAGGTAAGGCTTACTGTGGTGCAATATGTGTTTTCCTTATAAATAAGCCTAATTTATGTTAACAGTACTCTTTTTCTCCCCGTGTAATAATTTAAGTTATTTGGCTTTTCAAAATATTCCTGGGGGGAGGGGAGGCATGCTAAGAGTAACATCTTAAAGCATTAAGTTGCAATGTCTGTTAGAAGTTTGGGGACAGAAGAAACCCCTTACAAATATCTTAATTTGTAATGTTTTGTTGTTGTTCAAATGAATTTTATCAAAAAAAAAGTAAAATGTGGGTAAACAAGGACGATTCATTTCCCACACCTAATCTGTTTTAGCTAGTAGTTGATGGCATACATTTTTCATTGACATGTTTTATTTTTTCACAGGCTCTGTAAAGCACCTATTTTGTTTTCAAAATAACAAAATATCATTTTTTTAGAATAACTTAAATATCTAATAAAGATAATGGAAACCAGCATGAGGGGCAAAAATGTTTTCAAAAGCATTTTTCCAATTTTTAAAACTATAATTAGTTGAAATTCCACATTTTAATGTAATAAAATCTAGTTCATCTTTTTAAAAATATATTTTAATTTATTTTAGAGAGAGAGAGGGAGAGAAACATGGATGTAAGAGAGGAACATTGATCAGCTGCCTCCTGCACGCTCCCTACTGGACATCAAGCCTTCAACCTGGGCACGTGCCCTGACCAGGAAGCAAACTCATGACTTTTCGGTGCATGGGATGACACTCAACCAACTGAGCCACACTAGCCAGGGCTAGTTCATCTTTTGAATCGGTCAGTATATGTATACATATGCTTTCAGTTCAAAGTTCAGGATAAATGTCTTAGAACATTTCAGAAAATGAGAATCCTGGGTACTAAGGAGAGTGTAATCTGAAAAGCCAAAACTCTAATGAGAAAAAAGAAGTGCTATTAAAAGTAATCTTGTGTTTTTAATGGCTTTAATTAAATGGAGCCTTTTAAAAAATTGACACAGGGAGACACATTGGGGAAACTTCTCTTCATCTGTACTAATCAGGATAGTATTTAAAAATGTTTGCAAATTATTAAAGTTTTAAGGAGTTTAAGTAAAATATAAGACAAGCAAAAAATAAAAATAAACATATTCTCATTGAGTAAAAAGCTGTTTTTAAATATGATTAAGCAAAATCATGTGTGTGTTTGTATGTTTTATGTTTGTTATTAGTATCAGATGAACTGCTACCAAATATAGTTTTGGGGAAAATAGAAAAATAAGAGGAAGTTAGAAAAAAAGGGGGAATTTTGAGGAAAAGGGAGGGAAGAAAAATAATAGAAGTGAGAAAAGCAAGAAAAAATAAAGAAAAAGAATTAAAAGGAAAAATATATATATAAAGGAAGAAAAATGAGGGATTTAAAAATGCAGAAAATTTTAAAAGTAATTGGTTTATTATTGTAGAATTTCACAAAGAGCATTTTTTCAAACATGAAATTTAATCAGTAGCACAATAACAGAAGTTACTAGTAATGACTGCATTCACCCATTAAAATGGGTAGGAATGTGAGAGATTTGTGCATATTCATAATTATCATAATGAAACAGCCATTTTGTCTTAACAAATATATAATATTTCACTATAAAAAAACCGCACTGGCTTTATTATAGAAAATAATATTTTCATTATACAGACTCCAAGGATGTCAGAAAACTCATTTAAAATAACCTGAATATAAAATAACAGTATTTGTATAGAAAATGAAAAATAGAGAAAAATAGCCATATTTATCACATCATTTAATTTAGAAGTAGAAGGGCTTTCAGATATTTTTCAATATTGTACTTAAAAATTGACTTCTACCAAAGGACTTTTATGCATGCATATGAGCATAACCAATGGACACAGACAGTAGGGGGGTGAGGGCATGTGCTGGGGGGTGGGGGCGGCCAGGGAGAGGTCAATGGGAGAAAAAGGAGACTTATATAATACTTTAAACAAGAAGGAATTTTTAAAAAATTGACTTCTACCTGGTAAATTTATAAATTATCTTTTAAGTTTAGAAAGTAAAATTTGAGGTCACACACTTATAGTTTTCTAAGTCCTAGCAGAGTAATTAAGTGTGAATATTTATAACTCTAAAACTTTTATATTTTTCTACACAAATTATTCACTAGATTTTTCCCCTTCAAATTGAACACAGTTTAACTATTATTTTAAAAACACAAAATTTAGCATTGAAATATGTGTACCCTGAATTGGTGGGTAATTACAGAAAAGTTCTAAAGTAACTTTAGATACCTTTTTTATCTATTTCAAAGTCAGGAATTAAAAGACAGAAGTTTTCTTTTGTGATTATTTGCTTATAGCATAAAAGACCTGAACTTACTTATAAAACTGAATATGCCCTCTTATTTTGATTTTTTCTTTCTTGTTATTTTCTTTGATGAAGATTATAAAAATTAGATAGTCTTTGCTTTTGTTTGTACAGAAAGCAAAGAAATAAACAAGTTATCAAACAAATTCACAAAGTGGATATGAATGATTTCTTTAATTATTTGCCTTTATGCTTATCTCTAGTAGTATTCAGCAAATTCTAGTAAATTTATATTATATTCAAAATTTAAAAAATTATCAGCAGTAGTTAATATTAAAATATCATCTTCTAAAATTTGCTCATCCTTTTAGAACTATAAAGATCGCATCATAATTTGAAAAATTAGTTTCTTTGAGAAAGTGGAAGGAAGCACTTACTAAAACTGAACCAAGTTGGCTAAAATTGGGAAAGCTCTTCTTTTATGGAAGTTGATTAATTTGATACAGCTACTTACATGTGCCTAAAGAAGTTGAACTGAAAATGGATAGTAAAAGGAGCCAAAGTAGTTTTTCTACTCTAGTAAACTGGTAAAAATAGAAATATTAGAGACATATCAAGCATTTGACAAATTCAGCATCTATTAATGATAAATTTCTCATCAAATAAGAATAAAAAACTTTCTCAATTGTATTAAGGGCATCTATGAAAAAACAAAGGGTATAACTAATACAGTACTGGTGAAACACTGAAAAAATTTACCACTTCTATTAATCATTGCACTGAAAGTCCTAATTGTTCAATAAGGCAAGAAGAATAAAGGACGCACAGATTAGAAAGAAATGGGAAAAAATACAGACAATATCATTGCATTCTTAGATAATATTATGTAGTTAGAAAGTAGGAAGGAATTAAAACAAAGAAAACTTCTTAGAACTAATAAGTAAGTTAAGCAATGTTGCCACATTCAAGGTCCCACAGAAAAATTAATTATATTTCTATATTCTAGCAATATGCTATTGGAGATCAAAATTGCAAAAGCAATGCATTTATAACAGCTCCCTAAAAATCAAATACTTAGCAAATTGTGCTTTAAAAAACAAGTATAGAATCTGTATACTGAACTTTACAAAAACTGATTACATAAATCAAAAAAGTTTATGTAATGAAGACATATATATGTTTATTATTGGAAGGTACAACATGGTAAAGATGTAATTCCACTCAAATTCCCAGCACGATTTCCTATAGATATAGACAAGAGGTTTCTAAAATGTAGCAAAGAAACTGTAATAGCCAAAACACATTTTTTTAAAAAAGAACAAATTTGAAGGAGATACACTACCCTATTTTAAGACTTATTATGAAATGACCCTATCAAGATAATGCAGCATTGTTGATGAAAAAGACATATAGATCAATGAAACAGAAGAGACTTTCCAGAAATAGTCCACACAAATATGGTCAATTGATTTCTAACAAAGTTGCAAAAGGCAATTCAATAGGTAATTCAAAAGAAATGAATCTCAACCTTACACTTTATATTAAAAAAAGAATAAAACAAAACATCCTCAAA